ATAATAGTTTAATGTATAAGTAACTTAAAGAATCTTTTATCTAGATATTTTTCTACTATAATACTTTATAAATAAAACTCTGATTAATTACTTTTTTTTATTCTTTTGTTTATAGATAATAGTATTATCTTTTAGATAATTTCTAATTTTCTTAATTATTATTATTATTAAAAAAGTTTTCTTAAAAATCATAAATAATAATTTTTGTCAAATTTTTTTTAAATAGATTATCTTAAATATCTAAATTTGATAATCTTATTCTTTCTAAAAAATTATTTTATTATTTAACAAATTATATAATATTTGTTATATATTATTTATTTATATTATTTATATATTATATTACACTATGATTTCTTTATTGTATTTTTAATTTTATATTTTAAATTATTATACTTAAAGAACAAAAACCTATAAAAATTATATAATAAAATTAATAAAGAAATTAAGATAACAAATTAAAACAAATAAGATGTAAAATGTAAAAGTTATTTGATTTAAAAAAATCAAATATTTAGTAACAATTTTTAAAATTTGAATCATGTTTTTTAACTTAATATTTCAAATATTTAGATTTTGAAATTTTTGTAGGTGAGTGCTTAACTTCTTTAAGCTAAAAGAACTAAGAACCTAAAAAAAAAAAAAAAAATAAGGTTAAAAAAATAAAACAAATAAAAAATATAAATACTAAATAGAAATTTTTTTTGAGCTAAAAGTATTAAAAACAATTACTTTACTATCTTTAATACATATTAAAAGAACTGTAAAACAAAAATAAATAAATAAGAAATGAATAAAAAAGTTCTTCTTTTCAATATTTAAATTGAAAGAGAGAGATTTCCTTCTAATATGTAAAAATATTTTACTTTTATATTAAACCTGTTCAATTTTAGTTAATGCATAAATGCCACTAGGATTCCACTCTAAATTAGCCAATCAAAATCCCGATTTTGTCTAAAAATTTTGGGGGTATCTCAAAAATTTGGGGTTAGAGTATAGGTACGCGGATAAGGTATAAATTTGCCCGTTCAGAAGTGATTCCATCATCACGTGGAATTGTAAATTTACTTAGAAACTGGATATCGCCTTGGGAATTTTCTTATACTCGATCATTTTGCTTTCTTCAAAATATTCAATTATGGGCAAAGGAACGGATAAAATGTAAGTTCCTTTGTAAGCGTTGTTGAAATCTATTTAATTGGTTCGTTCTTACACGAATTTGATGTTTCATTATTGATTAGGTACATTACGCATTCCGGTAAAATTATACTTTTGTTATTTTATAGGTTTCTTTAAATGGATAAGATACATATTTTAATTTTTCAATATAGAATGGTCTGGAGAATTTGGAGGGATGCAGTTTGGAGGAATCCAGACTAGAAAGAAAACCGAGGTTTTTAAAAGACTTCCATTCTATTGTTGCTCACTTTCATTGCAGCCTTTTGAGCATCCCGTATGCACTACTGATGGTATCATCTTTGATCTAAGGTTTGAGGCAGGATTCATTTAACTAGGCTGTTATTATAAAATTAATCGAGTACTTTTGTTTATACATTAATTATTAATTTTTTTTTTAACAGGCATATACGTCTTTATTTAAAAAAATTTGGAACGAATCCTGTAACTGGTGAAAAGTTAGATGTGAATTCACTAATTAGTCTCAATTTTTTTAAAAATCCTGAAGGTATGTGACTCAAAATATTAAACATGCATAAACAATATCTTATTTCCATATATTTTATCGTAGGTGAATATCATTGTCCGGTAACCTTTAAAGTATTCAGTGATCATACACATATTGTTGCTATAAAGACTACGGGTAATGTTTTTTCATATGAGGCGGTTGATCGACTGAATATTAAAACTAGACATTGGAAGGATTTACTATCAGACGAACCATTTACACGAAAAGAAATAATAACTATACAGGTAATTTTGCTCGCCTTTGTATTTGATATTAAGAATGCAGATCTTTATATGCTAATTATTATTTAGGATCCTCATAACCTTGAAGTTCGTAATTTATCAAATTTCTATTATCTTAAAAACAATTTGAAGCTAAAAGATGGTATGCAAATTTTATAAGACGATAAAACTCGATTCATTTGTAAAAAAGCTAATTTTTTTTTCTTAGACGAATCAAGCGATCCTTTAAGTAATATAAATTTAAGTGCTACGGGTTCAGCAGAACGTGTTCTCTCGAAGATTTCTGCCAAGGTATAAATATATGCACTATATCATTTCAAATTAAAGTGACACCTGTAGTCTTACTATTCACTTTTAAACTTTAGCAAGATGAATCGGCACAGAAATCTCATGATGCAACCGCTGATGATAAACCTCTGAAGAAAGCTTCGTCTTCAACACCTACCGTAAAAAAATCAAAAAATATTCCATATAATGCAGCATCATATTCACGTGGATTAGCAGCTGCATCGTTTACTTCTACTGCGATGACACCGGTGACTGAAAATGAAAATGCACTTGTTGACGAAGAAGAATTCATGTTTAAAGAAATTAAAGAAAAAGGCTACGCACGAATCGTAACTAATCTTGGAAACTTGAATATCGAATTATTTTGTGATAAGGTATGAGACGAGAATTTTAGTGGATTTACGAATCTATTTTGTAATTTGTATTTATATATAAAAAAAAAATATTTTTTTAAGGCACCAAGAACTTGTTATAATTTTATAATGTTATCAAAACAAGGATATTATAATAGGTAATATTTGTAATATTATACATTTCAAAATCTATAAGCTAACTTTACTCATTAATTTACAAGGACAATCTTTCATCGTAAGATCAAAAACTTTATGGTATTTATTAGTAAATTTTTTTTTTCTTCTTACATTTTGGATAATTGAACAATAATAATTATTAATTTGTTTAGATTCAAGGTGGTGATCCTACAGGTACAGGGAAAGGAGGTGAATCATATTGGAAAAAAGATTTCGAAGATGAACTCAAACGTAATCTTTCACATAATGAACGTGGGCTCATGAGTATGGCAAACAAGGGAAAAAATACAAATTCATCACAATTGTATGTATAATGCCTTAGTTCGTTTTTTACATTTTAATTTTAAAAGATCTTTCTTTTCATGATTCTCTTGTAAAATATATTTTAGTTTTTTTACTTTTCGCCCGTGTACTCACCTAGACAACAAACATACAATTTTTGGTAAAATTGTTGGAGGGAAAGAGATTCTAGATAAGATGGAACTAGTACCCACTGATGAATCCGATCGACCTTTACAGGAAATTAAAATTATTGAAGTAATAACTTTTATAAATCCGTATGAGGACTACAAGAAGAAGTTAGAAAAGAAATTAAGTCGACAAAATGAAATTGTGGAAAGAAAGCCGCGAGACAAGACCGAAAAGGTTTGACTAGATAAATTCAATATAAATATATATTTATAAAGTTTTTATATTTATAATTTTTATGTATCAGGATACAACTACATGGTTTGGTACGAAATTGACTTCAACCGGTACAAAAGAAAGGAATAGCAATATATCTGGTGATGTAGGAAAATATTTAAAATCAACATCGTCATCTGCGATACCTAAAAAGCGAGAATTGGATAATGAAGATTTTGATTCAGAGCCAGTTCCTGAAATCAAAAAGAAATCAAAGGCTACAGGTTATAATTTTGGTAACTTTAGTAATTGGTAATAATAAATTTTATAGTTTGAATTTAATAATGATTGGCGATTCTTGTGAATAACCTGTGCGCATTCGCTGTGGTTTGATAAACCTGTTTAATGAGAATATTTTATATTAACAAATCATTTTTTTTTTTTTGATAAATAATGATAATAATAAAATTACTTCCCACTTCTTCAAACGAGATTTGTTTTATTTTGGAAATTTCCGATGCACTTATGATAATGCTATTCGGCTCATTGTCAACTCCTTTTTCGGGACCTAATGCAGGAGAATCTGTTTCAAGTAAAAGGTTTGATAGTGGAATTTCTGCCACCAATCTTTGTTTTTGAGGTGACCGAATTATTGAAGGTGGTATTGAGAAAAAAAATCTGAACAAGAGAAAATTATATTTGTAATGTTAATTTATCAATATTGTGTATATATAATAGAAAAAGAACGCGTAATCAATACCCCATTTCGACTCCTTTTTTTGCATATTTTACTTGACCATCGAAAGCATGCATTACTACTTTTCTTGCACCATAATCTCGTAAGCAATCTAAGGCATAGTGTCCAGCACTACGCGAATGAACATTTAGGGGAAGGTCGAATTGAAGAGAAAGTGCAATTTGTTGCGCAAAAACTTGACGTTGTATTTTTTTTAATTCTTCTGTGCTTAGATTCAAATTAGGGTTTGAATCAATCGCATTCTGTAAAACATGGGGAGTAAAGTCCAACCCAACTAAATAAAGAAAAAAAAAATGAGAACTTAACCTAATAAAATAGTATGACTTACATTAAAATATCAATTTCTTAGTAATACCTTCACCAATTCCGATTAATTCGGCTGACTTTTTCCGAATGAATTCAAGCATACTGTTAGCTTGATCAGTACTTATTAAACTCATAGACCCTACAGGCTGTACAGGGTGCAAACCCGCACAGGGTTCAATAATTTCTCTTAATGAATCTGATAATGACGCATCATTTTTCAATTCCAATATTTTTTTAGCGTCTTCAACAGTTTCTGATACATTAACTATCGACTTTACGTTCGCAGCTTTTGCACGTAAAAGGATTTCCTCAATTGGTGTATTTGGAAACGAAGAAGGATAAAGGTGAGCATGAACGTCTATTAAATATTGAGACATAATAGATGATGGACTTTTTATTTCGGATCTACGTACCGATATCACGGTTCTGGGGGGTTTTTTTTTTATCAATTTCGGGTATCATTCTAGAAACTACCTATTACGTTGTCGTTGATATAACTAACCCTCCTCCATTAATTTTACGCGTTCGATCAGTTCGAATACTTTTTATAGATCTAAAATTAATACAATATGCCTCCAAAGGAAGATTGGGAAAAATGTAACTTGGGCAATAAATATTTTTGTATTATATATATATATATTTTTTTTTGTCATTTTGATGTAAACATTTAATATCTATATATAAAGCTAAGGTCGGCGAAGAAAACGATGAGAAGATTACCGGTATGTTTATTAATCTATTTTCTTCTCACAAAGTTTGCTTACTCAATCTACCTCTTATATGCAATAGCACTCGATGAAGGGGATATTGCACTTTTGAAAACTTATGTAAGTTGTAGTTGAAATTCTGGGCAGTTTTATTATTATTTCTTATATATTTTTAGCTTATAACTCTCGTTACCCTTGAAAGGGTCAAGGTCCTTATGCAAAGGAACTGAAAAAAACAGACAACGATATTAAGGACGTTCAAAAACGAATAAATGAAAAAATAGGTACTATACATTTATATGGTTATTTAATGTGCATAAGTATTCTCAAAAATTTTTTTTTTTAAAATTTTTCAAAAAAAAGGTGTCAAGGAATCAGATACTGGTCTTGCTCCGCCGAATCTTTGGGATATCCCTGCCGATAAACAAAGAATGCAAGAAGAACAACCTTTACAGGTAAATTATAACATAATTAACTAGTTGACATATCAACTTTAATTTGCTCATATATGAAGTTTTTCATTTACATATTAAGGTAGCCCGATGTACTAAAATCATTCAGGCCGATGGTGAAGAAGCCAAATATATTATCAACGTAAAGCAAATTGCAAAGTTCGTTGTTGCATTAGGTGAACGTGTATCACCAACAGATATTGAAGAAGGAATGCGTGTCGGGTAAGTTCAAATAGTTTAATTAACTCATATTTATGGTAGAGATGAAACTGGCTAAATATTTATATAACATATATATATATATACACACTATAGTGTGGATCGAAACAAATATCAGATTCAAATTCCATTACCACCAAAGATCGATCCTTCCGTGACAATGATGCAGGTAGAGGAAAAACCCGATGTTACATATAGCGATATCGGGGGATGCAAAGAGCAAATTGAGAAATTAAGGGAGGTCGTCGAGTTACCTTTGCTTCAGGTATGTTAAAATTTATCTCTTTATAAGTTATTTTTCAAATTTTAAATAAATAATTTACTTATAAAGAGTATTTTATACCTTAGCCTGAACGATTCGTAAATTTAGGTATCGACCCTCCTAAAGGAGTTTTACTATATGGTCCTCCGGGAACCGGTAAAACTTTATGTGCTCGTGCAGTAGCAAATCGAACAGACGCAACGTTTATTCGTGTTATTGGATCCGAACTTGTACAAAAGTAATTATATATTTTGTCTTACTAACAATTTTTATAAAATTTATATATCGGTAACATTTTGCTTTAATAGGTATGTTGGTGAAGGTGCACGTATGGTTCGTGAATTATTTGAAATGGCACGAACCAAAAAAGCCTGTATCATATTTTTTGATGAAGTAGATGCTATCGGAGGTATAACTTAATAAAATTCCTTCATTCGATCATTTGGTCATTTAAAATATGTATTAACTACTTGCGATAAATAGGTGCACGTTATGATGACGGTGCTGGAGGTGATAACGAGGTTCAAAGAACTATGTTGGAACTGATCAATCAGTTAGATGGTTTTGATCCACGAGGAAATATTAAAGTTCTGATGGCAACGAATCGGTAGATAATCAATTTTATGAATAGTTCTTTATTAAGCAATTATAGAAAAAAAAATAGTAAAACCCTTTATCGACAGTCCTGATACTCTGGATCCAGCATTATTACGTCCAGGTCGTTTAGACCGTAAAGTAGAATTTTCATTGCCTGATTTAGAGGTATATATGAACTTTATATCTGAACACCTTATTAATGTTATAAGGCTAAAGCATTTATTATACAATTTTATAGGGTCGTTCGCATATTTTAAAGATTCATGCTAAAAGGTAAACTGAAAATACAAATCAATTATGATTGTGGTTATTAAAAACTTTGTTGATAAATTTTCATGTTATATTATTAGCATGTCGGTGGAGCGTGATATTCGATATGAATTGATAGGACGTCTTTGTCCAAATAGTACTGGTATGTTAAAAAAAAAAAAAATTTGAATATTAAATTAAATATTGGTTATTTATTTGGTATCCATTTTGTGACATAATATTACCTTTAAATGATAGGTGCTGAATTACGTAGCGTATGTACAGAAGCCGGAATGTTTGCAATTAGATCTAGAAGAAAGGTAATCCATAATTAATGTTTTGAAATAAATCTCTTGTCTTACATGTGTTATAACTTGATTTAATATTCTGTAGGTTGCTACAGAAAAAGATTTCCTGGAAGCTGTTAATAAAGTTATCAAGGTAATTTTAGTAATTTTTTGTATTAAATCTTACTTTGTTATGTTTGCTTATTCCGTTCATTAATTTTATAGTCGTACGCAAAATTCTCGTCTACTCCAAGGTATTATTTTGTTTTCAAATCTGCAATTTTTATAATGCGTATCGTTTTCGACTATGATTAAATTATCTTTTTTATTTTTATAGATATATGACTTACAATTAATAAAAATTTTACATTCATTGTACACTTCTTTTTTCAATAATATTTATTAAATGTGCAATGCACTTTAAATTTATGATTATATTTTGTGTTTTGAATAACAAAAAAAAAGATGTGTGAACCGTGATTACATAATAATTTTATTGGTTTCATGCTACTTTGTTTCCATTTTTTTTTTTAATTGGATAAAAAAATAATTGAGGTCCCGGCGTGATAAATTAAAGTACTTTTATCCGGTTAGCGATGAATGTCTGATAAATTTAACCGTCATATTGAAATGAAATGTTATTATAACATAAAGATCAAATGGATGTGACGGTATGTATGCTAACGAAAATTTTAGGAGGCGCAAAGTTAATCAACTAATCAACCAAATGCCTTTGAATGACTCAAGATACATTTTATGATCAACCAAACACCTACAGTTTCCACGATTTCTATTCGATCCAAATGTAAAGCAAAACAGATCGAGTCATAGGATTGATCAAACCGTTTTAAAGGTCCATTTAATAACAACTGTGCTCTTCGACAAAAGACTGATGCATCAAGTGAAGGAGAATCATCATCACATGAAAAAACGTAAAGGTGTTAAACTGAAGCACGCGAAAAGAAAAGTTATCATTAATTCGGATGATTCAGATGAAGCAGAACAACCCACTACCACAGCTTTTACTAATACTATTGGTAAGAACAATCAAAACTAGAAAATGTCCTAATATTGCTTCACGTAATACAGAAAAAGCATATCAAGTGGGATGATGAACCCAAAGAATCCAAGATGATCGGCAGAGGTGCTCGAACCAAATCAAAAACAATTCTGCGTTAAATTGTTCTGAAACTTCGAGGGCATTATCTATCACGCAAACAAGTATCAATCATCATAAAAGTATTAGCAGATCAGGTTCAAAAAAAGAAACACAAAGGATTCTTCTGATAAATAACCTGATTGATAAGAATTGACAATATATATATTTTTTGATGAAATTTTTTAATCGTAAATTATTAAAAAAGGAAAATATTTAAAAAAAAAATTTTATTGTTATTTTAATTATTTATTAAATCAATATTTTAGAGAAGTTTATACGTCTATTGGAGATCGACATCTGATAATTTCTTTTTAATGATACGAATAACTGTAGAATTAAAAATAAATAAATAAAACAAGAAAAAGTATTGTTTATACTCATGGATCAGGATGTTAAATTGCTTCAACAAAGCATATTTAAACTGAGTATAAGTACAAGCTTTTTTCAACTAGCTTTAATATTCTTTTAAACGTGCTTTGAGCTTGCTTAACACGTTTGTTAATTTGAGCTTAAAAAGTATATATAGCGCGTTTTATCAAAATAGCTCTATTACTCAGATATATTTAATATACTTTGGTGCTAATTAATTTTGATGATGTCAAAATTATTTACGTCAATTCGACATCTATTTTAAATTTTTAATAAAATAATTACATCTGTCAAAATACAATTTAATTAGTAATTCATCAATTTGTTCTGAAGTATAATATTTAATACTATTTTACCCAAGCTTGATCCCTTTTGATGATATAAGTGTATGGATCTCAGCACTCTTCAAAGCTCTTTCTGCTAAAAGTGGATATTTCCAAAGAGTAAACTCTATAAATGTTCTTTTTCACAGTTATACAAGTATGTTCTCAATAAAGAGATAAAATCTTGTAATGGGAAAAATATTTTGATAAAAAGTTGTTGAGAATTTGTAATAAGAAAAAAATTGATATACAGTTTGGAGACTGAACAAAGTCATTGAGAACTTGTAGAAAAAAAATTTTTTAATAAATACAGTCCCCGACGAAAAGAATGGCAGAAAGTTTTTTTTTGAATAATAAAAGTTTTTAATAAATAACTTTCAAAATTTTTTTTATTCTCAAATGCTTTTGATTAAGAAA